TTTCAGGCTCAGTTATATTCTTGCTTGACTTTCAAATGCTGGTACAGAGTGCAAACCCATTTCTATTCTACTCTCTGTTTTCACCCTTTTGGAGCTTCAAACTTGCTACATTTAAGATGTGGAAAATCCTTTTACCAGCTCCCACGGGAATGTGCATCTGTATGTATTCATCTTAAAAGTTTCAACTGAAAGCTTAGCGGTTTTTGAAGTCAGTAACCATATGGCTAAAACAAAAGAGTAAACATTAACTGTTTCCCATGGACTTAATCACCTCAAAGTAATTTGCTGTCTGAGTATAGATTTACAGAAATATTAATGCTGTTTTTCATTTGGTGCATTTTCTATAACAAAAATAGATGCCATTTTAGAGTACCCTTTGTTTCTGGCTGAAGTTTGTAGAGCGCGTTCCTAAGTACAGTGTATGTATTGTATCCCTGATGCATACGGGAAGCAGTTCGTCATGATTGGTGACTCCACACTTTGTATTCACGACCACATGCCAGCCCACAGACTGGCAGTTCTGCAGCTCTGAAGTTCCCGTAGCTGTTTGAAATCCAGTGCCGAGCTGTCAGGATGGCTTCAGTCTCTGGACTCTTCTCTCACTACTGATTTTGTTTGTCCAAGTGATCCTTTCTTGTACCACCCAAATGTAGCTCCCACAAATCCAAGTTCTTCAGTTGGTGATCTCAGACACTGCATTGGCCCAGAACAAGGCTATAAAGACACTCATTAGTCCAGTCAGCTCTTCTATGGTCAGTCCCAAGAGACAGGGACTATGTCACTATGCCAGAGAAGCCCCTTGGTAGCCACAGGGCCTGGACAAGCCCCTTGCTGGCTGGAAATGGTTCCACCACAAGCACAGCAGTGCAGTCGCTGAACATTTACTCACTGTAAAGTTCTTGTATGCTTAATATCCTATCATGGAAAAGAGATTTCTATATGCAAGAATTATTAGCATTAGGGTAGGAATGTATGTTTAAGTTTTCCTTGTGCACCATGTGCAAATGTGTTAACTTACCCACCCTTCCAGTTGTTTTTTTTACTGTTTCTATTTAAGCAAAGTTTTATACACCTATACAGGACAGCATTACGTTTCTGTTTGATGTAATACTGTCTCTCATTCATATCAGTGCTGAACCCACTCCCCTGCTTCACCCTGCGTTCTTCATAATAACAGCACTCTCCACAGAAGCCCAGAAAATGTCGTTTTAAGTGAAGTTATTGTCCCTTTAATGACCACAGGAATATCCACAGCATTTTAAGTATTGGCTTGGGAAATCTGTTCTGCCCACCCTAAGTAGCTGTCTGTCATAAATATATCTGCTCACGATACGCATTATATAAATAAAACTGTACAGGCAGAATGTTTCTCAATCACAAGAAAGGCTCTACACCCACTATCCAGAGCGCATATACTTTGTAAGCATTGGTTTCCAACAGATAAATGTAATCAAGGTTTATATGCTCACAGAAGCCAACAGGATGGGATTGTTTCACTCGAAAGATCAGAAGAAAATTGTAACTAATGTTGTGGAAAATTACTTTGGTATTGCTTTCTCAGTACAGCATCACAATTAGGTAGCAATGTGAAGCACAGGGAAAGAATAAATGAATAGTAACAAATCAACACAAACAGCTACTGTCAGGAGTGCTTTGCTCAGTGAAAGTAATGTAAGCATTACTTAAAGTTTTATGACTGTGGATTTTATACTGGTTTAAGTAGTACATCAAGGTCTCACCATCATGCTTGCTAGGACTAAAACAATCAAGAGCAATTTCCGGAACAGACAGATAAAGCTGAAATACCAAAGTATTTTTATTAATCTTGTTTCATAAGTTGTACTATCTTAAATTAAAGATGACTGAATGTACTAACAGTGAAAAATGCCCTTTTGGACAATGCAAAACTCTCCTATGGTGCTTTTCAGTGCAAAAGAAACGTTATTGACTTTTCTGGAGTTTTCCTCAGAAGATTCTAAGCCCTGCAAATGCACTTTGCTGCACAGTAACTACATGGGAAATGCAAAACCAAAGGCTAATCCAATAAAGCTCTGCCATGAAAAATCTGTTGTCCTAAGTAGCTTAATGACACATGCATTTTTTCAATTCTATTGAGGCAGCAATCAGACAAGCAAATTATAGCAGTATCCACTCTCCATTAGAAAAAGACCCCTTTGAGGAGAAATGCTCAGATGAGGGGAAGGGAAGCATCTTTTTCACACATCAAAACATCTCTTGTGATTGACAGATTTTCACAGGAGGCTGTCTGGCAATGAAATATGCCTACTCTCTTTGTAATGAAATGAATGACTGTTTTTCCTATGTCCTTTATGCTTCCTAATATGTTTTTGTGGTAACTGGTATCATTTTCAGAAGGAGTAAAGGTGAGATTCTGAGTCCACCACGAGCTGAAAGCACTTAATGCACATGAAAATCACCCAAACAGAAATAAGACTAATTGTATGGAGCACCTTTTACTCAAAGGTGCAGTCTGATTCCTGTTAACATAAATTGTAATTGAATGTGAGAATCAAGCAATTCATCACACACCTTTGGCAGTAACAGCATTGCTGGGATGTTCATTCTGTAGCTACAAAGAACCCTACTGACAGCTACTGAATACATCAAGGAGTGCAGCAGGGAGGGAAGAGGACCTGAGTTCAAACTTGCCTTTATTTAAATGTGCTTGGGTGTCCCACTCAACAGTTACATCCTCTGTAATAATTTACAGTATATTACACTCAGCAGTTCAAGAGGTATGTGACAGAATAGAGTTCAGGAGTGACTGTTCTGCTCGGCTTTTGTCTTGTCATACATTCGGATAGAAGGATGTTGTTTGTGCTCGGGAGGGGAGCTAAGTGACCTAGAGAAAGGAGACTTCAGAGATTGCAAGGTAGGTAAAAGTGACCAGTGAGGGCAGGATGGGGGAGAAAGAGAACAGGATAAAAGCCTTTAGGAAAACCAGTGAAACCTGTTCAGAGAACAGGTAGCTACAGAGGGTAGCTCTTGTGCAGAAACATATCTTGAGTCCTAGCGGCTGCCTGACCAGGAGTGCTCCTTTGTCTTAGAAATGGAATCTGACTCACCATCAAAACAGATCCAGCTGAGGAAACTGGAGCACTGCCTGCTTCTGCCAGGGTTTCCCAGCCAGCAGGCTAACGTAAAATATATTTACATACGTTTTATCTATATTATACTATTTTATCTATTATCTATTATCTATTATTATACTGTTTTATCTATATTATACTATTTATCTATATTATACTATTTATATATAAAATATTATACTATTTATCTATATTATACTATTTATATATAAAACATGTATATTTAAAATATATATATTTAAAGAGGAAAAGATCCTTTCCCTGTCGTAAATCCTTGGGGGTTTGGGTCCCTGCTGTTACTGAAGGAGATAGATCCTATAGGATCTATCTAAATTCCATAGGTTGTGGTACAGCCACACCAAATATGTGGCCAATAACAGTATGAAGGTGAGTCTGTTCTCAGTGTAAAACCACCCCACGTCTACTAAGTGGAAAGGCAGGTCCTGCACAGTGTGCACCTTCATAGTGGAGTTATCTCAGAGATTTCTCTCTACTACACAGTTTGTGCAATCACCATTTTGGGCATTAACCATACGAGCTGCTCCAGTGACCTTGTATAGCTAATTTGGGATGTGTAATTTCTGATTTTTGCTTTATTTTCCTATTAACTTACAGACCTCATAGCAGTATTGATTCCAAATGAATATGCACAGTACTGTCAGTTTTAATCTGTAAATTATTTTGCAGCTAAGTATACAAAAACAAATAAGAAAAGCACTGAAGTGACTGGTTAATTCTCTGCTTTCCGTGACACATTGATGATTCATTATTTCTACAGTTTCAACTGAGTGTCTGCTTTCAAAATCCGTGTGCAGTTGGACTAAATAATAAACATATTATAGATTGTTTAGTGACATGGGAATAAGCGCTTAATAAACCTGGGCACAGAAATTAGCACATAATGCAAGGACTTCTGCTAAAGTGTAATGTAATTTTGTATTTGGGTTCAGCTGCTTTAAAAATGTTACCAATATTTTATCTTGAAAATATACACAGTCACCTTGACTGTGCAATGAAGTCGTCAGTTGAATTGACTTTTTATAAAGCACGTATTCAGTCAAAGGAGAATTTCAGTGCATATATGAGCAAACACAACGACCAAACCTCTGCGCATAGGAGTATTATTATGAGCTGAAGTAACTGTGCTGACATTTGTCTAGGCTCTAAACCAGCCTTCCCTGCAGCCTTAGTCAAAGAAAAAGTGACTGTAAGGAAATCAAGGGAAGTCTTGTGCATTTTCACACTTCTTACATGCCCACTGCTTAAAAGGAAACCACTACTTCAGCATGTAGTTTTCAGATCCTCACATGAATGTGGAGTGGGTTTTTTTGCTTTTTACTGTTTAAAGTTACTAACATGAGAATATGGCACACTTATGAATGGAAACGGAAATATTTAATGGAAGTTATGCACATTAAAGGAATATGTCTTCAAATATTTTAAGCTTCTTGCATGACTTATTTTACACATCTCTTGTCTTGCATCTCTATGAAACACTGAATACCGTATTCAGAGAAGGGTGTATGCAGAGTTGAACCTTGACAGAAATTCTCAGTCCCAGATTTACAGTGGTATAACTGGCAGCAGAAGTTGGTCTCCACTTTAGCAGACAATTAACTTTATCCAGCTGGACCCAGTACACCTTGGCAAAGATTCCTGCATAATCAGTCAATTGTTTCTTGGAACTGCTTTTTATACAAACTCTTTTTTTCCTTCTTTTTGTGGTCAATTAACCTCAAATAGCCTTTATTAAAAAAAAAAAAAATAATTACTTACCTGTGTTCAAGCAACCTATGTGGAAAATGTAAACATGTTAAGGGTACAAGGGTAAAAGTCTAAAACACTGAACATGAAAGAGCGACTGAGTCAACCAGAAACAGGAGTGCTAACCTGGTGTCTGCTGATGAACTATTTCTTCTGGATCCTGCAGGTGAATGAAGACAACAAGCCCAGCTGCTCCAAACAGCAAGATGAAGGAGAACAGACATGTCAGCCTCATAATTATTGTTCTCAGATCAATCCAGTTTGGACCCAGGAAAAGAACTGCATGCAATCTCCAGAGCGCTCTTCACTCATAGTCTCGTCCTGTCATCTGGAAGTCTGGCATAATATACCTACAAAAGGTAAAACAAAACCCTCTAAAACTTAACACTTACATTGTGTAAGGTGCATTCGTTGATTGAAGTTTTTTTTAGATCAAACAACTGATTTCTTTAGTATTTCTTAGGTAAGTTAATTGCAGTCATCAAGTCAATTTCAGTCCAGTCAGTTTGTCTTTAATTATGTGTCACTGTTTTTAACATGTTGAAAGTACAATGTAGAATATCATCAGAAATATAACTTGGGAAAAACGATCATGCCATGATGGTAATTTGCAGAGAAACCCTCTTAACAGTTTTCTTTCTTTGAGTGAATCATACATCACTTTTTATTTTGCACTGATTAAGCAATGTGAAAACGATGAAGTGAGATAATAGGGGGGAGAAAAGATAAGAAGCACAGTAACTTGCATGTCAAACATGAGGAGAGTGACCAACAACTGGCAGCTGCCTACTACTTCAGCCTTGAGGAAAACAGTGGGGCACTGCAGGTTGCTACACAGCCTGTTGGAAAAGCTCCATGGACCTACTGATTTCCAAAGAGAAATGCTGGTCACAGTGCTTGGGCCACCTTTCATGGGATTGCACAAAGCACCAGCAGGCAGAGTGCAGGGAGCAAGCTGGCTGGCTGCAGGAGCACTGGACACTGGAGCTGCTGCCTCTCTTCCCTAGGGAACTCTGAACAGATTTCTGGGCTCAGTTCTGTAGTTCTCACGACTGGCTGTAACACTTGCAGTTCTGTGCCATTTCAACAAACAGCAGCAGCACTGGTCAGTCCTAGATGGGCACCATGTACGTGATTCTAAACCTCTGACTGCACGCACTCCTAAGGCAAATACTTTATTTTAAGCACAAAAATAGTCTCACTGGAAGCAGTATCCATTCTGGTAAGAGTTAAGAAGTGAATAGATGAAAGAATGTGAACAACAACAAAAAACATCAGCAGTGCCAGTTGTTGTATTAACTAAAAGAAATGCTTTTGTCACGCAAGTGAGCTGGCCATACATTTTTTGGTGACATGTAGGAAGGACCATTAAAGAGCAGACACTGAAACGGGTTCCCAGCAAACATAACCTCATTTCTTACCAGCAGATTATTTACCACAAGGACCCCAGCTGGAGAACAGCAAGAGATTGCAGGAGTCACTTCGCTTTTATTGTATTTCTAATTGGAAATGTGAGCTGGGGTAAAGGTTTCTGAAGGTGGTCTTTATTTACAAAAGAGGCTTTAGGTACAGAAAGCTCGTGTTACATTAGCCTGCAGGGAGGATGGGTTGTGGAAAAGTGATGATTCAAAGTAATTATTCCAGGAAAAGTCTTTAAAGATTTCTTGATGTGCCTGGAACATTTGGTGTTAGAGGCAACTTCTTTTGCTTTTCATGGTTTCCCTAGCTGGTTTTTAATTCTCTGCAGGATATTTGTTTTCTAAATTTCTAAAATGCACCAAAAAAGAACCATTTTTGCAGTTCCAGTGAAGTCATTTTTGAAACTGACTGATAAGGTTATTTAGTGGCAACTGTGTTTGTTTATTCAGTGCATAAAGCAGCCAGAGAAAGGCTTGAGGCCAGGAACATTGATGGATGCTTGTATCTTATACGAATGCTAAGCATCACTAAGTTCTGTCTATGTGTAGGAAAATGCAGCTTTACTTTCTGCTAAAAATGATGGCAGAAGTTAACTGTATAGTTTTAATTATTTTTCCCTTAAACGTTTTTCCCCTTTTTAAAAGTAAAACCAAGAGAAAATGAAACCACATTTTTTGGCACTAGCAAAGCTGAATCCATATGGGTCTTTGTACAACTCCATCTATATGTGTTACGTGCATGTGGATGCATGGATGGGTTTCTTTTTGCACATGTATTTATTACAAACATATATATATTGAAAGGATCAAATACTAACTCTAAAGCTACAGTGGAGCCGGATTAGGGAAGGATTAGCCTTCAGAACAACTGTATTATAATTCCAACCACTGCTGTTATATGCAAACGATTAGGAACTTTACCTTGAGTTTACTGCAGAAAGTGTCCATACTAAATGGTCAGAGGTTTGGATAAATGGGTACTTAGGACCATATCACCTGTGGCAAGGCTGGTCCAACACCAAAATCAGAGCATCATTTTGTAAAACAACACAGTCAGAGCTTTCTAGGAATTGTGCTTAGTTCCCTGATATAAACACTGATCTTTTTCTAACCTACTTACGCTCTCTGCATGCCCATGGGGAGGAGAATTCTACTACCCCAGTTTTACAGGAAAAGAATGAGGTAAAGTTGTTGCCCGAGTTTATACAGGAAGGCTGTGACGGAGCAGGGAATTGCAGTGCCTCCTAGCCCTGAGCTGGAGTCAGCAGTACTGCTCCTCTCTGCTGGGAGTGTGAGCTGGCAAGAAGCGCATGATCATAATTTGAAAGACAGGAGTTTAAAAATATCTATTCCCTAATAACTCAGGTTTTCTATTTGTGTAATGCTGAGTTTTAAGGTTGCTTTTTGAATGAGTTATACCCTTGAGCAAATGTGGGCTTCTAAAACAATTATTATTAGCTTAAAATGCTAGACCATTTTCACTTTATGATTTGTTGAAATGTTTTTGTTTGAAGTAAAGGCAATATCAAGAAAGAAGGTCCCTAGCCAGTTTTTAATTAGTGCAAGAAATACTACAGTAGCAGTTTTTAACAGTTATAATGTTTACATTATTCCATATCCTATACGACATCTGTGTTCAGGATCACGTAGCCTTTTAGTTTAGACACCTCACGATGCAGCAGTAATGAAGGCTAGATGGAAGCGTGTATTGGCAGAAGAAAAGGTCACATGTAATGATACAACTCTACAGAAACACTACTGTCATTCCCTGTTCACTCATCTTTGCAAAGAGCGAATGGAGAGCGAGTCCAAGAACGAAAGAGAGCCTCTTGCCCCTAACAAAATTAGTATCCCTCGACAAAACACAATTTCAGAGATCTTTAAATTATGGGCCTACACTTTTCCCATCTCTATTCTTCTGTAATTATTTTGTCAATCAGTTGTTTTTAATTAACATGTCGTAGGAGAGTAAGCCTGGTGAATGGGGATGACTGTTTTATAGATGCTGAGTGCGTGCTTTGTGAGCACTGCCAGGCTGGTCAGGGAGCTGCAAGAGCAGTTGGCATCAACTGATACATGTGAATGAAGTGTCTTCATTTGGAAATATTGTCTATAGTTAGATCTCATGATTTAAAAGATAAGTTAAATACCATGATTTGAAAGATAGATCAGATTAAAAAAAATAAAGAAGGAAAAAAAAAAAGAAAAACCTTAGTGGAGCACCAGCAAACAGTTTCTTCAGGCAGTGCCTCATCAGGCCTATGAGGGAGAAGATTGCCCTGTGTGGGAGCTCTGGACTGGTGCACACAGAGCTCCAGAGAGTTTTGCACAGATCTGAAGCCTTCAACTCGTACTTTGCATTCGTAGTCACATTCTTCAACTGTGCTACTCACAATAGGCAAAAAGATATAATTTTTCATAATTCTTATTAGTGTTACTGGGAGTGCAAGAAGATAAGGTTGCAAGCAGCTTCCAATCAAAACTTCATTTTCAGCTGCCGTGAACTTATTAAACAGATGGGGAGCAGTTCACCAGAACATGCCATAATGAATTGAAATATCTAACTTTTAATTTATTCTTCCTTTATACGTTTCTGCAGTGGATAAAACTCCTAGGCATCAATATGCGTTTTTCCAAGCTTTCCCATTACAATGGTATGTGAATGTTCTGCCCTTGAAAGCAGCAGAACTGTGTGTATATGCAGATAACAATTAGCACGCAGGTAGCACTTTCCAGTTCAAAGATATTCATTAATCTCCACAGCACTCATCTGAATTGTGAGGTGAGAAGTATTAGCATCAGGTAGGAGAAGCAGTGGTGCATCATGAAAACAAACCTTTTCAGGAAAAAGGCTGCACAATTTTAGATAAGAATCTTACAGATAAATCTGTGGAAAACAGTTGAATATTTTAGCAAAATATTCAGCTATCACGGCTTTTAGTTTCAAACTCACAAGGACCAGTTCCTCCTGCTCCCAGGCAATTCTGAAAACCTCTTAGAAAGACACCACAACACAGTGTGGTGGGAAAGATGCCTCATGTCGGCTGCTTAGCTGGAGCTGTGCTATTGCACGGCGTCCACTGCTGAGCCTGTCTGAGCAGGAGCTCCCTGCAGCTTCTCCTGGAAAGGTCTGCGTCATAAAAGTGAGGCCTTGGCCTCCTGGCAAAGCTATTTTTGTTTAGATGGAAGTTAAAATGAACATTTTAATTTAAATCTTCTAAGGAGAGTGACACGGAAAGCAGTACTTCAGAGACTTCCTTTTTTGCGATTGCCCTCTGGACGCCTCATGGCTAAACATCTTTACTGCAAGTAATTTGACATTATGATAATGGTCAACCCAAAAAAGGCAAAAAGAGACAGTTTTCTGCTAACATCTCTGTTGTTTAATTCCTCATCTGAGATGCATTAACTAGGCTGCACTCAGGGTTGCATCTGATAGCACATGTTTGCTCATTCACGAGCTTTGTGGATGTAGAATCTCTCCCTTGTCTGCCAACATGTCTGTGAACAATGATGTCGATAGATAATAATCTAAGAGCATGATGTGCTTCAGGTAGAAACTCAGGGGATTGTCTTTGGACCATCTTGAAGAGAATCTTTCCCTAGCAGGGGGCAGTGGTTGATACTTCAAAAGAAAGTACAAAAACCTTGAGAGCAAAGCAGTAGGATAGCTTACCCCCAAGAAGAGGTCTGTCTATCCACAGTGGAGATCAACTTTTTACGTGCACAGCATGTCTTAGACTGGCTGTCCATGATGTCAGGGCATGCACCATTCACAGCACTACAAATATCACAACTTTTAACATTTAAAAAATGTTTAAAAAGTGTTTCAAGAGCTCAGTCACTTGGCGAGAACAAATAGAATTAGCCTAAAGGTGAAAAAAAATGTGCAAAGACAAGAATGGAAGTGAATGACTAAGGTGAGCCAGAGT